CGCATGAAGTTTTTTTTTGAACCAAAATTAGGCAGCGAAAGAATTTTTTGTCGTTCGGCCACTAAGGAGTCGGTCTGATTTCATTCTGACAATTTTTCTATCCCTATTGGAGTTTTCTATCAGAAATGCGCAGGAAGTTTCTTTTTGAACCACAGTCAGGCAGCGAAAGATTTTTTGTCGTTAGGCGCTTGTGGTCACCCAGTTCTCATTTTTTTTTCTCTGCCAAGTTTTTCATACAAGCAGCTTTTAGTAGAAAAACTAACACCAATTCATGCAAATGCCCCTCATTTTCAAAATTGCCCAAAATTGGATTAGGCATTACGGTCAAATGCTTTTAAAGGTCGTAGTTGGCTAGCAAAAAAGTGCATTCGGAGAGGTTAATGTTCAAAATGTTTTTTTTCTGCTTCCGCACATTTTTGTAGAAGTGAGGGCTTTACGTTTTTTTTTATCATGGGACATCGTGAATGTTGGGTCTGGATTTACGCGCATTGATGACAAATAGATGATTCATTCAATATGTATGCGGATCAGATAATCAGTGAGAAGAGGAAAAAGAATGCGGTTGTCATGTGAAGGATGTGGCTCTGTTATCAAGGAGCAGAGTAAGCAACAGGAGAGGAATATCGCAGATTGTAAAGAAAGGCATATGGAGTGCAAGACGTAGCACTATCAGCGAAGTGCTCAACTTATTTCAATGCTTATGCTAGCTCTGCCAGAGGGAAAATTACCAATAAGCCTGGAAAGTTTAGAAAGATTAGGCTCAGCATCGGACTTCAATGTCTATTCCATTGACCGACACTTCCATTGTTCATACATTACATAGCTTATAGGTTCACCCATGTTGTAGAAATCTGAGTTACGATACCGCATTTTGTCAAAGTCACCGAACTCCACCAGAGTTCACTGAAATCCGCGCCGCATACCATATTTTGGTTCAGAGTGTATCAAATCTGAAGACAAGGACATCGTTTAACTCAGCGTGAAGCGCATTTTCTGATATATTTAGAAGTTGTCTGGATATGGTTGGGTCAGATCATAAATTTTTCA